CTGCTCGCAGAAAGGTTCCTTGATGCAAGCAGTATTTAGAAAAGAGGGGCTTGTGAAGCGATTACGTTTCGTTTGGATATGTCCTGCACAGACAGTATCAGGCTGTAGGAAGCTTCAGGATGCATTTAATTAACTGATGTTCAGCTCACACCCCCATTCCCCATTCACTGACTGGATTCCTGGCCTTCCTTCCCAAAGTACTGTCTAGTTCCCCCGTTGTCATCCTCCATCATACTGGAGAGCAGTGGGATTTTTCTCAGCCCAATCCCACACAGGTGCTTTTGCTGAATATGAGGCTGGCGTAGCTCCTAGTTTAACTCTGCAGGGCCCATGGAAAGCAAATCTGCTGGGTATCATGTGGCCTCAGCTATGACAATTTGGGGGATGTGGGCTTCTGAATACCTATAATTTACAGGGGAGAGATAAACCACACATCCTGGAAGAGCCCTGGACTGCCATTTTTCTTGCATCCCACATTTGGCAGGTTGAGAGGTTCATGGCAGAAAGCAAGGCTTTGAGGGTTAGCATGAATCTTTCCTTCCCACAGACCCTGTCTTCCCTATTTACGGCAGTGACTGGGCTATCTGGAAGCTCTTGGCTCTTTGATCCTAAATTCCAACTTGAGTTCTGCTGCGAAATATCCTTAGTTATTGCATCTTTCCTGCTGAGAAAGGCTAAACACGAACGTTCAGGAGTCTGGCACAAGATACTCTGATCACTTACTCAGAAGAGGTGCAGCGAGCCAGATCTTCAGCTGCTCTCTCTCAAGATCAGAGCACATCTATTTTGTGAAACGCTTAACCCATGCTGGGAAGTGCTTTTGCAAACCGGGCTTTGCTGTATTTACACCTGGCTTCTTCACTACTGCCGGCAGCTTGCTAAGTACTAAGTCAGTGGATCTGCACCCTCCTGTGCCCATGGCTTGTGGGCCACGCACTGGAAGCAGCCCTCGACGTTATTTCTGGGAAATAAACATGTAGTTTCGGGAGCAGCAGAATTAAGGGAGCCTGGAGGCAGGCCTCCTGGCTGGATTTTCTCGGTGTGCTCCAAGTGAAGTTCCTCCAGTGGTTGGGATCCTTCTCCTGTGAGGGTTCTCTGGTGTCTTGTAGTGGGAAAAAGTGTTTTGCACCTGTCCTTCAGAGGGAACACTGACTTGGATCTCTTTCCTCTCCGTGGCTTCCTATTTTCATGGCATTTATAGGAATGTGATATCTTTTGAGACCTTTGCCCTTTGTCAGATGTGCTTGAGCTGGCCAGTAGATTCAAAGGGTGCTACAGGGAAGGGGAGGGAGAGGAAGCAGAGAAACCCACGCAAGTAATGTGATCACACAAAGCTTTGTTTCTTCATGAGACTCCAAATCTCCAGACTGAAGGCAACAGGAAAAACAGGGCTAGCTGTTTCCTGCGGCACATGTGGGTTCAGATATAAAACAAGAGACAACTGATGCACACAGAGAGGGCCTCAAAGAGAAAATGAAGTCATATGACGCAACGCAATGAGCAAACTTGGGAGATTATTTAGCAACTAGCAACATGCTTGGCAATATTTGAGACACCATTATTCATTAGGGTCATTGCTCACTAGTATTACGTAAAGGATACTTTACGGAATAGAGTCTTGCAGGATACCTATTCATGCAGGTACTGTACAGACTCCATGAGAAATACTCTTATATTTCAAGAGCTTACTGTGTTAAGAGGCAAGATAATAAGAAAAGGTCGTAAAAAATAGAAAGGGAGAAGATACAAAATCAGACAACAGTCAGCATTTTTTTTCAGGAAATTCTAATGCAGAATGACTTTCCACAAAGGTGCGTTTAGTCTGTACCTCTAATTTTTTAGCTGCTCTCTAGGTAACGGGGTCTGAAGATGAGGATCAAGTGAAGGGCACCAGGTTTTTGATGTAAAGTCCGCATGCAGCTCGGAGGGTAAGCTTGTCGTGGGGCTGGGTGGGTGGTAGAGGCTAGGTCTCGTACGTACTTAGAGCAGTATTTCATCAGCTGATCAGAAGATAACTTGATAAATACAACTCTGATGAAGGCGGTGGATGATTAGGGGGAGAGCTTTCCTAATGGATAATCTGCAAATCTTCTCAGGAGAGATGGGCTAAACAGATTCCTTTTCTCTGAAACCTTCCTTTTCTCACTGAGACATAGAGCTGGGGCTTAAGAGTTCTGTTGGCTACTTTCAAAGAAAGTAGGTGCAAAGGAACGAGAGGCGTAACTTCTTGTACCTCCTGGGGGGGGCAATCTATTTCAGCAGCAATAGGGAAAAATGAGCTTCATTCATGAAGAAGGGGGCAACAGGGAGGAAGGAACGGCTGTTTGTTAATGTTGCCTTAAGCTAAACATTAATGAAGTGCAACACTTAAGATGCTTGCACGCCTCAATTATGTCCACCAAGCTCACATGTTGCCTTTCCAATTACGTAGACTAAAAAAATGAGGTATGTGTGAAGTGACTGCTGCCTGCTCATTACCTCTCTCCGTGGGCACTAATTCTGCTGCTGTCTTTCAACCGCCTGTGTGTCAGGTGTACTTACATACACAGTGTTTCAAACAGCAACACGAAAACAGCACATGCAGCACGTGAACAGCGTTGTTGTGGAAATAGATTTGAGTCAGGGAAATAACGTGTGGTATGAGTGGCAAGCCAGGGTTAGTGCTGGAGATGCTACTGGGCAAACAATAAGGGGAAGCTCTGAAAGGTTCAAAACGCTTTCAGGTGTCTGAGGGTGCTGCTTACTGACTAGCGCTGACCTTGAAGGAAAGGACCAAAAACTATTGAGATACGTGATGGAATTATGAATGTCAGTGGCACCCTTTTAGCAGGACTCTGCTGCTCCTTCTGCTGAAAGCTCACTTCTGCCGCTCCTGATCCTTCTGCCCAGTTGTTTATTGCATCCTTCTGATATAAAGCAGAAATCAAATATGGTTCAGAAAGAGCTTCACATTTTTATTGTACTAGGCACATGGAGGGTAGATAATTATTTTGGAAACCAGAAGTTTTGTTTACCCAGTTACTTTTTATTATTATTATTTTTATTAAGTGAAAAAAAAATCTGACAGACAAAAAGTCCTTCAAAATTGTGCAATAATAACATAGCAGAAATCAGTGACTGAAAAAAAAAAAAGACACAGAGTAAATATTCAAATGGTATATTATTAAACTGCACTTAAGGAACCAGATTAGAAGTTGACACTAATTCTAGAAAAAAATTTAGAGACTGCCTGCTAGTAGACTGCTGCAAGTTTTGAAGGATTAGTTACAACTGTTACAGCTAGTACCAGAAATGAAGATGCTCCCTGGATCCAAGAGCCGCTAACTCAATTGCACCATTTCCATTCTAAAGTCCATTTGAAGGAGACTTGAAATTTGTTTAGGAAAATATTATTTTGGTCTCTCCTGAATACAGTTTTACATTTCCACTGGCAAATTAGCTAAGTCTCTCTTGAAGTACTTCTCTGTCCTTGTAAAGAGATCTCAAGGATGCTGATCCTGAGATTTAAATCTGCCCTGCACGGAAAAGGGTGTGTTCCTCCTGCACATTACCTGGCTCGGGGAGACTTCCCCGTTGGCTAATGTAAGTTTTGGGCCTCTTTGGATGAGTCTAGAAAGAGGATGACAGTAACTCGTCCAGGCCTGTTGGTTGTCTTCGTGACCTAAGCAACCGGCAAACACTAAGGTCCATTAGTGCCACTTGGTCACGAGGCCACAAGATCACGTGGACGTCGGCGGCCAGAAGTTTCACAGCCTGTCCTCTCGTAGGCTCCCTCCCTCCTCTTCCTGGCTGTGAAGTGCTTGCATATAGGCACACGAAACTTGACCCCTGTCCAAGAAAACTAGTCTTTTCCCCGTTCTAAATCTGCAGATCTCTACTGCTAGTGCCGTGTCAGGATCCGAGCACAGGGAACAAGTTACGGCAGGGTTAGCCAGGGCGTGAACTTACAGCACGCCAGCTATTCTCTGATGAAAAGATCTGCAGGCACAATTTTCCCCTGCGGCCAACACGACGTGCTTCACCCCCGCTACGAGATGCCACGTCCCGTTGACCCGGGGTGTGGGCAGGAAGGAGGGCGGGCAGGCAGTTTGAAGGAGCGCTGTGATTTTATTCAGACTGAAAGGGTCGCTTTTTTGGCCTCGAAAAGGGTGGTCAGATTTCACGCCCGGAAAAAAAGGCGCCTCCTGGTACCTGCACTTAAAAAAGCAAAACGAGACAAAAACCTCCACGATCCAGAAACCCACCAGGTTTTTAACCTGTGACCTTAGTCCTAGTCCTCTCTTCAAATGGACTTAAGAGTACCGGCCTGCCCTTGCAGCGCAATCTAAAACGGACTCAAGTGCCAATGAACTGCAAGAAGTTCATCCTAAGCAGGGCACTTCCCGTGCTCGCTCTTTTCCTGACGGATCCAGGCGTTTCACTGAGTCACCGGGAAGCAAGCCCCAGTCGCCTCCCAACATTTCGGCTGACAAGTCATGTCACGTGGCATAAAGCTACTGAAGCAAAACAAGAACAAAATATACATCCACATCCACGTGCCGTATGTACAACAGAGCCCTCCCACCCCATATACATCTCCGTGAACAAGATTTTTGCACTTCAGAAGTTCATAAAAATATACAATTTGCCCAGAACTGCATCTATCCTGCTCACCCCCTGCCTGGGGCTTAGACTTTTCTATTTATATATAAAATACAGCTAGCCCTGTGAAGATGCTTTGCTGAGAGCCCGGCGGTAATTTCTGCAACGAAGAGCAAGTTTCTCCGCCGCCGGCGTCGCGTTGCTGAGGCACCGCCAGCCCTTCCTTTGACCCGCATGTTCCAACAAAAGGTTTCGCTGGCGATAGCCTTTAGCGCCGTACGGGCGCTGCGGAGCCACGCGTGCAAAGGGGCCTTTCAGAGCGACCCGAAGTGACCTGTCGCCCGGCTGACGCTCGACAACATCCGACCAAAGGATTTCTGTGGACTATTAAAACAGTTACAAGCTTCGTCCTTGGTTGTCTGCCTTCCGCGCAAAGAGGCGGGATAGGCTAAATTCTCCTTGCCTTGCTCGAGCAGGATTTACCCCGGGGAAGTAAAGCAACAGAATTTAACCCATACTAATGCCCACTAGAGAGGTGCCGCCTTCTGGGACGCTACATTGCAATTTCTTGTTACCTGTGCCAGAAGTACTTGCTCAATCAGGAAGGGGTTCAGTACCCTTCGGCTCTGCTTTTAGGCTTTATTTCCCATAGAAATATATCAGATCTTGTGATTGACATCGCTTGAATAGTTTTGCCTCTGGGTCAGATTCTGATCGCCGTATGCGGCTGTAATTCCCGAAAAAAATGAGCTCTACCATGCTGTGCTGATTTACTCCAAGTTTTTACCCCAGAACAGCAGCACCTGACCTAACCAGGTAAAAATGTTGCAGCTCTGTAGGATCACTGCTATTTATAAAATCTGACTATAGTTTGGTCCCAGCTTCAGGGGAAAAATTGCCACTGGGAACAATAACACCAGTAATTGAAAATAGAGTTAGTATTTCTATAGTGTATCAAACCATACAGAACATGAACTTTTTAATACATTTTCTGTATGTGAAATTAAACGGATCAGTCATGTATCAAAACATAGTTGGCCCTTCTCTTTTCATCTGTAGGAAGACTGCAATTACAATTTCATTTACACAGCAAAAATACTTTTGGTTTAAACAAAGAAAAGAGTGCGAATAAGACAGCATGTTGTATTTTACTACCAGGCTTTGCATATATCGAGTATGGAGAGGCGTGACCCACGAACGGTCGCTCGCATCCTCGCTCTCGGGTTGGCAAGTAGTTTCATTCATGGTGAGATTCACATTTTGCTGTCACAAAAAAAAAATGCTAGAAAATGGTAACCAGACATTTCTACTCTTTAGCTCGGTCGCCAGTATTATGTCTACAGTAAATGCAAAATGATTAGTGATCTGAATATATACATATGTTACTGCTAAAGCTGACGGCACGACTGCAGCTACTTTTTAGGGAAGGAGCGCAGAATCCCTGCTGTAAACCAGATGCATTTAGATTTGCAGTAATTGCTGCTTTGTGAGATTGTGGCAAATCTGTAAGCGAAGCCACTTTTCTAGATTTTCACAGCGGAGGCTCCCCCTTCCGTCCCACCGACACAGGAGCATCTTAAAGACGCTCCACAGAGGCAAGCAGGCTTTCTGATTACCCTGGAGGACGTGTTTCGAGATGAGCGTTTTAAAGACAGTCAGCAGCCAGTTTTTTTTCCCCGTCAACTTACTGGCAGAAATTACAGTTCAGTAACTGCGGGCGACCCCCAGCGGGTTTTGGGGAGGGAAGGTGCGGGCTGGCGCCGACACCTGCAAGCCAGAGGCAGACGCAGGAGCCGCGACCCGGCGACGTGCGCCGGCACCGCCGGGCTTCGTTCGACCAGGCTGCTTTCCGCTTGCCGTTTGCCCGTAGCGACCTAAGCACCTCGTTTCGGGCCCTGAGGCCCCCGGTTTAGCAAAGCACTGAAGCACTCGCTTAAATCCTGCTGCGGGCTAGGGATTTTGCGCTCGCAATGAGAGTTCAGCACGCGCTCAGGTATCTGGATGGGGGCTCAGAGTCTCAGCTTTCTGAAAGGTGGCCTGTCTTTTAATAACGGGAAAAATATGTAAAAATAAGGGTTTTTATTGTCATGGCAAGAACAATGATTGGGATGCCAAAATACTACTGCCTTGCAAGATGAAGTGGCACATGTTCTACACAATAATGTGTACAATGTCTGACGACTTCGGAAATCTGTTCTCAAGCAGATTTCCCAATAAATTAACACAACAAAAATACTCTCATATAAAACAAAGTCCAAAGGATTTTTTCCAGTAAAAGCAAAACCTTCAGGGACTATATTACTTCTCTCTCTCTCTACATATATAATCTCCTGAATTCTTTTTAAATAAATTTATTCTTGTCTTAGAAAAATAAAATGAGTAGCCAATTTAGTCAGCGGAAAATATCTCACAGACTTAAGAGCATGCCCAGCAAGCATAGCCTTGTAAGACTAAATTAATGTTAAATCAAAGCAATTTGTTACTAAATTAACCTAGTTAATTTGCAGTTCACAGTTGATTACTACAAAGTGTATTTTTTAAATTTTTTTGGCCCATATAAAAATAACGTATTGCAACTCAAAGTGCATTTTTAAAATAAACAATCAACTATTTTTATCAAATAAAATATTTACACCATTTGGTTTTTACAATCAGAAACGCGCTTCATGCGATGACCATGGGAACATCATCTGAAAATCCAGTTATCATTGGAGCTTCATCATCCTCATCTCCTGGAAAACAAACCCAAAGCTCTGTTACGCTGACCTCTGAGCGTCATGGATTATATAGCTCTACCGGCTGCTGAGGTTGGCCGCAAAAGTGCCCTCCCGACCGGTATCAGTGGTGTGAGCCCACAAGCCTTGCCGTGGCCTTGCTGCTGCTCTTACGTGGGTGACGTCGGAGCGCAGCAGGTTAGCGCATCACCCAGCGTGACGGAGCCGGCAGCCACAGCTATGCAACCCAACAGGTTGAAAACCCAGCAGGATGCTCTCTCATGCTGGCACACACATAACCGTGCATAAGGCCAGAGAAAATATTTAACTCTTCTCTTGACCTGGTCCAAGTGTAGCAAGAAATGGAGTATGCAGACCTCGGTCCTGCTGGTCATACTTAAAAAGGGCTCTCTCGTAAGCCCTTCCCAATAAGAACCAATGTTAAGATGACTACTTTGAGCTACAGGGATAGCCACGTTTGAACTTGTTTGCGTTAATGGGAGTTCTTTAGGGGAAGTTACTACAGACATTTGTTCTGGGCCAGGGTTATATTTTTCAAATAAGATCAAATCCTTAGAGATTTTCATGCCAAAGATGGTGCAATAGTTAGGTCTTTCAATAAATTTCAAGTCCTTAAAGCTGTCCTTAAAATCTGTTGCATGGAATCGACTATTACGTACCTAAATCATCACCTGAGGAGAATATGGCCGACCCCAGGCGGGAGCTGTAGTGGCTGTTTGCGAAGGCAGTGAAACTGTTCTGCAGTCTCCTGTGCCTCATGTATAACACAACAAACCCAATCCCGAGGGTCACAAGCAACAGGAACAGTATCGGTACCACGATGGCTGCTACATCTGTGGATTTACCAGTTTTCGATGCAGAGGAGTCTTCACCTACAGATCAGGGAGGGATGGAAGGGCCATTTGCAACCGAAACCACATTCGTCTACCTGCTGCTGGTTCAGGGTCCTGTGCGATCCGTCAGCAGACCAAACTCAACCAAAATACGGCCAAATCGCCACAACAATCACATTCAGGAAACTGCGCGATGATTTCTTCTAGCCTACCTTGCTAGGACACAAACACCAATTTGACTAGCTATATAATATATTATTAATGCCTGAGGTGGACAGCTTTTGAGGCTTTCATTGATCTTCATTAAGAAAGGGGGGGGGGGGAAAGCCCCAGCACCTTACCTGTTCCTAGTTCATCATACAGAAGCGTGGCTGGCTCCCCACACATCTGTCCACTGTACAGACATCTGGCCTGAACCGTGAACGAGTAGTTGTGACCTATCTTCAGGTTGGAAACTTTGAAGAAGTTTTCCGTGGTGTTCCCAAGATAAGCTGTGATGTTCATCAAGCTGTCAAACATGTGAATCTCGTAACCCTGAGAGTAGTGAAAATGAAAGCACAAACCCCATATCACTCAACTGAGCGAAGCTGTAGAGGTCAGGTTTGCTTCTTCTGATAGCTCTTTAAAATTTGTTTTTGCTCCTGAATTTAGCTTTGATGAAATGTGTTGGGCTATCGGCCAAGAGAGAGCAATAGCAAAGCTTCCTCCAGGCATCCCTGTCAGCATGCATTGACCTTGGCCAGCCTAGAGAGGAGAGGAGTTTTCACTCTCTCTGCTTCACTCTTTTCTTAGCATTCACCTGAGACCATCAAAAAATGGAGTCCAGTAACGACGATGGGGTTTTTGGCATAGATTTCCACCTGCCCAGGCCCTGAGAGAGAGCATTTCACAGATTTGTTTTAATCAAAATTTAAATAATAACAACTTTCAGACGCTACTGATGTGCTTACCGACGTGAGAGGCTGTGGCCTGTTCCCAGTCCTTCCCCACGTGTGAGAGCTGACCTTATTTGAGAGGATAACTACGCTCTTAAAAAGCAGCCGACTGGATCTTACACCTTTCTGCCTTAGCCATGAATTGAAGCGAGCTCTACCCAGAAGGCTCAGCAAGGACACTTAGGAGGGCAGAGCACACTGACAAATTTATAGAGTCTAAGAAAGGAGCCGTCCAAGAGCCTCTGCTCTAGGTTTTGCTGAAACACTGCCTTTAGGACGACAGGAGACACTGGGTGCAACTTACCCGGCTTTCATTAAAATTACTTTCCTTTAATGCTAAACTCTTCCAGAACAGCAGAATATGGTCATTTTCTGTTATAATTTTTAAGGCATCTGGTGCAGACAGGGGAACTGCAAATGACAGAAAATGGAAAATGGGTCAGATTTTAAGTACAAGGAACAGCAGTGAGGTCACTTTTCAAAGTCAGTACTTTTTAGGGTTCGGCACAATACTCCGTGTACAAAGGGCTGCCCTGGAGGACAGGATACTGTAGCATGTAAGCCGGCAGGAGTTTTCCAGTAGGTTTTTATGGCAGACCCAAAACAGCATTTTATTCCCTCTGCACAGCGAAAAAAAGTGTCTCTCCCATCTCCATTTAGGCAGGAGAAAAATTCCCTGGCCATCGTGCCAAAGGAGTCTGCTCCACTGTTGCTTGTTTGTTTCTTTAATTGCTTTTGCTGGGAGTTGTATCGATGCTTTGGCTGTGGGAGATGGCTAAGCGATGCAGAAGCACGGCCGTCTCAGTCCGGGTCAGCCCTTCCCTGTTAGGCTGCCCAGCAGTGGGCTATAGCACAGGTTGCATTGCATGGCACGGGATTCCCTCTAGTGGCTAGTGCTGCAAGAATTTGCACGGGACCCAAATATTTATGCTTTTTTTCCTTTACCTGTGTTGATTTTCATACTGCATTCTTTGCTCATGTTTCCCAGTTGAACAATAACATGGTATTTGCCTCCTGGTTCAAGTTTTTTAATGGTGTACTCCACTGTGCTGTTCCGGGTTTTCACTTTGTAGATTTTATCTGTTTTTCTTACTAAATCTTTAACTGCAACAGCATATAACTGGAGGGGAGGAAAGGTACACACGGTGAACGACAGAAAATCTTACTTTCCTGCAGGCTTGCTAGCAATCTCATACAATGTTAGAACATCAGACTCGGGGGCAAAACTCAGATTAAACCGTATCTTTACTGAAAACCTGTGAAGTAAAGCGAGATTTCAAACCTCTTGCTAGAGGAGCTAGATCCTGCCCTAGATCACTGTTTACAGATGAGGAGAATGCAGTTACTGGAACATATGAGGGCAGGAGAAAAACCTCACTGTGTCTTAACAAATAGCAAGGACACAGTGCAAACTTCTGCCACGCTAACGATTCCAGTTTTGCCAGGAAGATTTATACCTTTGAAGTCTCAGAACCAGATCAGGACTAGAAAGTTTGCTGAGAAAATGACTTGTCTTCAGTGGAGCAAGCCCTGGCTGTAGGCCAGCACGCCTGAAAACAGGATCGGGCTTTGTTCAGGCAGCCGCAGGGCCACTCGCACGGGAGGCAGAGCCCCTAGCTCAGGCTGGCCTAACATCTCGCCTGTGTCCATGCAGGCTTGCAGATGACTATTAAGATGGTGGTAGACCTTATCTCAGCCTCGGTTCTCCATCAGCAGCAAGAGAGTAATCTCACTTCTAGCCAGGGTTTTGCATGCAAAGGGACTTTGTAAGAAGTTACCATATCCTGGTCGGGTGAATCGTAGGGTGATTCCCACTTAATGACCGCAAACGTCTTTCCGGTGAGCACGGAATGGAGGTGCCGAGGGGGGAGCCGGTTGTCAGGGATCATCTTGACCACAACGTAGTCAGAGGGTGGCCCTTGGTAGGGAGACATCACACGGACCTTAAAGGGGTGAAACAGCAGTTAATACTGCGCCTTTGCTCTTCGGTACCAAATTGTAGCCCGTAATGTAGGCAGAAGGCACAACAGAGAAGGAGCCTACCAGAAACAAGTACTGCTCGTCCCTGTTCACGATCACGGTGATGTTGTGTGAAGTAGTGGTGGTGTTGTGAGGGCTCCTATAGAGCTCTAGGAAAGATGTGGCATAGAAGATGCCATAGACCTGCAGAGGAAGACAACAACTAAGCAATAAAAATGCTTTTTCTCTGCCTATGTTTACGGGGCAGCAGGTCGTTTATGTCGTTTTTCAGATTTAGAATTTTCTGGGGCGTGGAATTCAATCCCACTGAGCACTTCTGTCGGCAGATTTACTCGTTTTTCGAGGTTCTGATCCAGACCCCTCCCTGACCGGTGAGAAAAGAGAGCTGGCGCCTTACAACGTTCCTCGGTCCGGTCCAGTTGCACTCCACTGCAGTCTGGTTGATGGCCTTGGCTTTGAGACTTGGAGACGCAGGTCTTGTGCCACTGGTCATGACACGTACAAAGGACAGAGGGCTGTCGCCCAGCTCCGTCTTAGCCCACGCCGAAATTTCATAGGGTGTGTGCGCGGTCAAATTTGCCACTGGAAAAGGAAAGAGGTTTGCACTATTAGGAGAGGCAAATGACTGTTATGGCTGAGGGACAGCTTCAGTAAATGGTCAGCATCAGTAAGCGGTTTTAGACAGGAGCCACTGTCTCTTGGCTTGTGGTTTTATTTGTTTTGAGTAATTTCCTTTGTACAAATGCATCCCGGGATCCTAGCACCTAATCTAGCCTGTTGCTTCATGGAGATGCTTTCCTGCATTTTGCCTGTGCATGCCTGTGATTTCTCCAAACCAGAAAATAATCTGATTAACAGGGACACGTACTGGATAAGAGCCCAAGGAATAGTTGACCTTTTGCTGAGTAGATAAGGAACCACAAAACCCTGTGTGATGAGAAAAGGCTAGTGCAGCTCTGAAGATGAATCCCAAAATCTGGTTGAAATCGCTAGTTCCTAATAACAGGGGCCAAGGATTTGCTGGTTTGTCTTCTCCAGATTTACTCTTTCCCGAACATACACTAGTCAGCTGAGATGTAACTGCAAGAATAGGCCTATAGCCTTCATCGAAAACTTCCCATGGGACTTGACTCAAACAGGAGAATTTTACATGGAAAGAATTTACCTTTTTGGACCGACTTTTCTCCTTCTATGATCAGAGTCCTTTTTTCCTGCCTGTGCGTATCGAATGTCCAGTAGATGTTCACAACATAACCGCTGACCTGTCAAGCAGCAATG